ATTAGTCTCCTTCATATAGTATCATAAAACTGAACTCAGGAATTTTTTTTTGTTTTAATAATTGTTGCATTTGAAATAATTGGAAATAGTTTGAACTAATTAGAAAAAATTCCTCAGTTTTGCAAAAATAAACAGATTTTATTTTCATTCACCTAAAATTTTCTAAGTATCAGATACAAATCAACCAGTAATATGTCAGGATCCATCTCTTCAGAAGCAAAGTTGCTCAGCTCAATGCTGTAAGCCGGCCTGAGCCAGGCCTGCAACAAGTGTCAGCCAACTAACAAAAGAAGCACCTGATCTCCAGAATGAGTGGGTGGGATGTAAGATGAGACCCAGTGGGAAAATTGTCAAATCAGATAGGAAAATCACACCCCCGTAGGGAAAAGGGAAGTTGAGATGTGACTGAAGATAAATACATAAATATCTAACAGAAATTGCTCCTAAAATCATTTGACAAATGGATATGACCTCAGAAAAGGTCGTGTGATAAATATGAAGGTAAAGAAAGCTCAGTGTGGTCATATAAAGTATATAACAAAGTAAAAGTAAATAAATTATGCTGAGTTTTGAAAGAAGCATAATACACAAGAGTGCATACTGCATGATTCTATTTACATGAAGTGCAAGAACAAGCAAACCTTATCATTGGCCAAAAAAAAAAAAAAAAGAACAAAGGTTGCCTCAGATGAAGGTGGGAAATGAAAGAGCAAGTTGACTGAGCAGGGGCATGAGAGAACTTTCAGATGTGATAGGAACATTTCACATCCTAACAGAAGTATGGGCCACATGGGTGTATGCATTTATCACAACTCACAGAATGATACACTTAAGATTTGTGCATTTCACTCTATACCTTTTACTTCAAAAAACGTAAAAGTTATTAACTCATTTATAACATACATGCTGAAGTGTTTAGTGAGAAAGTGTACAAATGTGTGCAACTTACTCTGAAATGCATCAAAAAAATAAAATGGACTGATGGATGGGTAAAAACAGAGAGACATGTATAAAGCAAATAAAGTCAGACCTAACAACTGTGGAATCCAGGAGGTGGGTACAGGGGTGTCCCCTACACCACACAGTATTTTCAGCTTTTCTATATGATTGCACATTTGCATGATAAAATGCTGGGGGAAAGTATATGGTGATTGCATTGAGATTTATTGGTTTAAATAAATCTCAGAAGTTTAAAGCAGAATGCAAATCTTACCCAGCACTTACTGTGAGTTCATGAGACATGAGATAGGAAGTGGACTGAAGGAAGGGAGCACTGGCAGCAAATGAACAACACCCCAGAGACCTGGGGGCGGATGGGATGCTGAGGCGAGGCGAGCTCTTTTTGTCCACAGACATCCTTCCTAATGTTGCCTCAGTTTAAAACTCTTGTGGCTGGGCGCAGTGGCTCACACCTGTAAACCCAGCACTTTAGGAGGCCAAGGTGGGCAGATCACAAGGTCAGGAGTTTGAGACCAGCCTGACCAACATGGTGAAACCCCACCTCTACTAAAAATACAAAAATTAGCTGGGTGTGGTGGCCATACCTGTAATCCCAGCTACTCAGGAGGCTGAGGCAGGAGAATCGCTTGAACCCAGGAGTCGGAGGTTGCAGTGTGCTGAGACTGCGCCACTGCACTCCAGCCTGAGTGACAGAGCGAGACTCCGTCTCAAATAAACAAATAAATAAATAACCCTTGTTATTCAGCAAATCACTTCAGTGTATCAATTATCAAGTTATACATTCCTAAGTATAAAGTCTCAAAACAAAACACATGACCTTGAGTAGCAAATATAATACTATGTGTATATTCTGTCGACTAACTGAAACGAATTCAGTAATTTTATACCAAAACATCATTTATATCTCTGATATATCCAAAATAGTTTTCTTTTAGGTTTATGACACAGTCTATAACCTTTAGTAAATTACAATGAGGAAAAAAAACATAATGACCATCTTACATGATAGACAAAGTAATTATCACTACTTTGAAAATACTGTCCGTCACTTCTCCTTAATGTTGCTTTTGTTAATAAAATCCATATCTGGAGTTGCAAAACCTAAACCAGGCAAAAAGATGAGTTCAGATTTAAGCAGATCATGTTAACAGAGAGAGTACTGTGATCAAAGGAACAACTGAGTGTTTTGTGCGTATCTTCTGGTCTTGGAGAGGGCCTACAGTTTCCCTGCACACAAGAGGCCCTCAACAAAAATTCAAATCCTAACCATTTTCCAAAGCTTAACTCAAGTTCTATCTTCCTTGAATGTTTTCCTAATTATGCAAACCCACCTTATTCTCAGCTAACCACACAGTCTTTCATCTGAAAGAAGCTGTACTGCCCATCAATCATATGGTCTCATTTACACAGGAATCTTTTTCTCATACACCTGACACATAGCCATCAACTCTGCCCAAGTTAGTTAGTTCATCACCTAAGAAGGCAGTTCATTCATCACCTAATAAGGTAGCCCATGCTACTACACAATAGGTCTAGTGGTTAAATCATTCCCTCTGATAGTTCTGAATCAGTAACATAAGGAAGTTGAACTAAAAGAACACTCCAAGTTCCTCTGAGGACTAAATTCTAAGAGTCAGTTAATTTGCTAACTGTGCCTGACAGCTACCCAGGACTGAAGGACAGGGATGGAAGGGCAAGATCCCTGTCCTCAGGACTCTCACACCCTAGGGTGCACCCTGTTAACTTGGAAATCTTAGAATGCCAGCATTTAAACAGACTTCACGATGGCCTGGCCTCACATCCTTATTTTAAAATTGGATTACAGGTCACTGCCCCAGAAAGATGAGGGAGTTAGACAAGGCCACCGAAGAACCCCTTACCCCACTTGTATCATCTGCAATAGCAGGATATTCTACTTTGCTCTTTTATATAATACCCCAAGTAGATTTTTTTTTTTTTTTTTTTTGAGATGGAGTCTTGCTCTGTTGCCCAGACTGGAGTGCAGTGGCACGATCTCAGCTCACTGCAACCTCCACCTCCTGGGTTCAAGCAATTCTCCTGCCTCAGCCTCCTGAGTAGCTGGGATTACAGGCACGCACTGCCACGCCTGGCTAATTTTTGTATTTTTAGTAGAGACGGGGTTTCACCATGTTGGTCAGGATGTTCTCAAACTCCTGACCTCATGATCCGCCCGCCTCAGCCTCCCAAAGTGCTCGGATTATAGGCGTGAGCCACCGCGCCGGCCAGATTTTTTTAAATTATCATTTTTCTCCTTAGTTTTACCTGTTCCAAAACAGAAGAAGGTAAAAGTTCACTTTTAAGCACACTAATGCTTGCAGGGATGACAAGGAAAGCGAGGGCATATTGCCAAAACCCTGCTCCATGAAGGCAGGTGTCTCGATGTACACTTCTCTCCACCTTCCTCAACACCCCCCAGTGTGCTACAGCAAGGCAAGTACAGATGTGCTCTTTGCTATTGGAATAACGAAGAGCGTAGTAAGACTAAAGCAGTGTCTCCTGAAACTCTCCTAGGGCCTTGTTCCTCATTCCATGCACATATCCTGTGCCGACTCAACATCCCCTCTGCTCCACAGCTTATCTCAGAAAGAACTAAGTTACCGTGCCAAGCTAAGAGGATGAATTTAGAAAGCTCCACATAACCAGACGCACAGCGACAGCAGCCATCAGACATCAACCAGATTTAACTGCCCTAAAATTAGCAGTCAGAGCAAAGTAGTTACTGCAATGATTGCGTCAGAGCTATTCTGACTGGCGAACTGCCAGTTTTAAACAAATTGTCCTGCTTTCTCTACCAGAGAAACAATATTTTGGAACAGAGCCAGCTAAGCATTTCAGTGAATGTTCAAATTCTAGCTTCGCTATTAATGTTGTATAATTCAATGACAAGGTGAACAAAGTCTATGTAGGCTACATCTGCAAGGGTGTTATTTTCTTTGTTGTAAGCACTTATTCTTTGGGTGAGTAAAGTACTGTGGATGAATCCTTTTAAATATTTAAATGCCTGAAATTTATTTAGGGATTCACATTCAACTGGCTTAAACAAAGATTATGCAAATTTAGCAAAGTATAAATGCAAAACAAAAATTGTTTTCCTCTTATATTTCTTTTAATCTTGGCAAAGACTCAGAGGCTAAAAAAAATGTTCTCTGCATGATCACAGAAGGACCCACTCGCTTCCCAACAAAGAATATATAACCTGATTCAATTGGCAAAACTGCTACCTCACTACATATTATGAAATTTCTAGTTAATAACAGACAATTCACTGGCTGATAGAACAGGGCGGTTTTTAGACCAGAACAATGAGCTCATTAGCCCAACCCTTAGCCTCCACTTCCCCCTTTCAGTGATAGTGAGTCGGATAATTCCGCCATTCTCATATGCACACACCTTCTTTAGTCCCTCCCTTTCTCCCTTCTTCCTTTCTCTCTTTTCATTCTTTCCTTTTATCATGATTTATTGAAACCTACCATACCTTACAGGTGAGCTGTAGCATAAACAACACTATAGCTAGAACCAAGAGACATGGGTTTAAAATACAAGGACTCAGATTCAGAAAACCACACTTTCATTAAACCTTAGTTTTTGTATCTGTAAAAGGGAAAAAAATCCCACCATCCCTATAAGGTTCCCGTTAAGTATACGTGAGAGAACACAATGAAAGTTTAAGCACAATAACATTTTACATTTGCCTTTAAGAATATCTCTCCCCAATTCTTTATTCTCTTCATAAATCAACAACATTAGTCTCCTTCACTTATTCTTGTCATTTAAAACATTTTATTTTTTTTTTTGTGACAGGGTCTCACCCTGTCAAACAGATTGGAGTTCCCTAGTATGATCTGCCCACCTCGAACGCCTGGGCTCAAGGGAGGGTCCCTCCTCGGCCTCCCCAGTGACTAGGTCCTCAGGTGTGCACCACCACACTCAGCTCATTTCAAAATTTTTTGTAGAGATGAGGTCCTGCTTTATTGTCTAGGCTGGTCTCAAACTCCTGGGCTCAAGCAATCCTTGCCTCAGCCTCCCAAAGTGGTGGGATTTCAGGCATGAGCCACTGTGCCCAACTCAGAACATTTTAAATGGGAAAACTGACCTACTATTCCAAACAAATGAGTTACAATGACCCTCAAATAAAATTGGTTGATAAACTGGATGCTTCTACTATCATGTACGCCCTGCTTACAGCATTTACCATAGCATACCTTATACAGAAATGTAAACAAACAGGAGTTAGAATGATATCCCTCTAATGTCATATTATAAGAACTAGCAGTATGTTAAGATATTAAAGATAAAAGATTTTTACCACGTAAAATTAAGACTATGGCTACTGAACACCTACCACATTTAAGGTATAAATAATATCCTCATGTACTTTGCAACCCTCAAACTAAAAGTACTGAATCAACAAAAGATGCACACTATGCACTACTGATTGCATTTTTAAACAACATGATTTCCTGTAGAAATTAACACTGCTAATGGACTGAGAACTAAAGCACTACAGACAGTACTACACAATTCAGAAATCCTTTCTTTTCAGTAAGCTTGAACAAGTCCCAGCCAGGGCTTTTAAGTCAACTGAAGCCTCACGGGATTCAAATAGGGCTGTGCAGTCATCAGCACAGACCAGACTCTGAAACCTGGGAAAGGTGTAAATCATACTCTCTCATGAAAGGAGGCCACCTAAGGGTGCCCAGGCTCCCAGGAACCACACCCCTCTGAATGGGGCTGTAAAGTTCTTGATGTAACAGATGGAACACAGTCAAAACCCTCTTCAGAAACTTCCACATTTTTACCAGTTCCATATCAGAGTTCAATCACAGGTCATTTCAAACAACCCAGGAAAGACATAAATTAGGCATAAACTGTTGTTCAAGATAGATCATGTACAATAGAAATAATGATTAGAACTTTAACTCGACAGTATTTAGTTCAACAAAAGCCAAGATAAAGGAAGTTCTTTTATGTTCAACCCACAACTCCCAATCATTTCTTTAACAAATATTAGTTCACTGTGAGCCTATTATGTGGCAAAAACCACTTAAGTACAAGGAATACAGCAGTAAACCAGAAATGTCCCTGCCCGTTTGCTGCTTATGTTCCATTACTAAAATTGCACAGGAGGATGGGTGGGGGTGGGTGGTGCTCGTTTAGCTGGAAGCTACTGGAGATACAAGAGCTGGGCTCCCTGCTGTCTCTCCTCATTCATTTCCAACCCACTAATGGCTGGAAAGTTAGGCATTCCTTGCACTAGGGGTGGCTGTGTGCTACCGTTTCGGCCAATCACATACAGACAGAGCTAGGCTATTAATCTGCACTTTTAACATACCCTGATCCTGGGACTGGTTTTGTCTGAGTGTGATAGTCTGATGCTTCTTAAACAGCTGAGTTCAGGCCGGGCAAAGTGGCTCACGCCTGTAATCCCAGCACTTTGGGAGGCCGAGGTGGGCGGATACCAAGGTCAGGAGATCGAGACCATCCTGGCTAACGGGTGACACCCTGTCTCTACTAAAAATACAAAAAAAAATTAGCCAGGCATGGTGGCAGGCGCCTGTAGTCCCAGCTACTTGGGAGGCTGAGGCAGGAGAATGGCATGAACCCAGGAGGGGGAGCTTGCAGTGAGCTGAGATCGTGCCACTGCACTCCAGCCTCGGCGACAGAGCAAGACTCCGTCTCAAAAAACAAACAAACAAAAAAAACAGCTGAGTTCAACTAGAAACCTTCTAAGCAGAATAGCATCACCATTACATTAACCTCCTACCCCTCAATAAATGAAACCTCAAACCAAGACCCACAAGCAATTCTGGAAGAAAACAGGCCAAAGTCAGAAATGTCTTCAGGAAAAAGAATAAATACACAGTAAATAGAAGGCCCATTACGAGTGGAGTTTGTCTTCAGCTTGCCTCACAAGATCCTACAGGCTCCCTAGAAATTCCATTTCTCAACAGTTACAAACTCTAACCAGTGATAGTAGAACAGTGGTCTCCAAACAGGGCCACACATTTCAAAGATACAAATGCCCTTGAGGTGCAGAGAAAATACTTCTACATCTATTTATTTTCAATATTAATCTTCTTAAAATTTACATTTTTACATTTGTTTTACAATGTCCATAATATCTTAGCACAGTAAAGTATGTTTATACATACAGATATATTATACATATACACATGCAAAAATGTGTATACAGATATGTATATAAGTATATGCATACATACATGAACACTTAGACAATTGTGTATAGATGGGATGCATGTTGAAAAAAGTTTGAGAACCTTGAGAACCTACCAAAAGAAGCCACTGTTTTTTGCATTAGATCATTTAAACACCTGAAACAGGTAGCATCTGCCCTGTAAAAAGAATCAAAACTATAATTTCTAAAATTACTTATTAGAAACTTCAATACATAGAGGACAGTATCCCAAAGCTATTCCTGAACAATGTGAATACCCACTGTTCAACAAGGAACCAAATGTGTTATCAAAAACACCTCCAGAAGACAGTGAAAGCAATCGTTACGCTGACTTCACAGGATATTATGCCTTAAGCATTAATCAGAACTTTTTTAAAAACTCCACACAACAGTTCATCTCAGCATACATAATTTTATTTATTTATTTATTTTTTTTTTTTTGAGAGGGAGTCTCGCTCTATCGCCCAGGCTGGAGTGCAGTGGCACGATCTTGGCTCACTGCAAACTCCGTCTCCTGGGTTCCCGCCATTCTCCTGCCTCACCCTCCCTAGTAGCTGGTACTACAGGCATCCACCACCGCGCCCGGCTAATTTTTCGTATTTTTGGTAGAGACTGGGTTTCACCGTTTTAGCCAGGATGGTCTCGATCTCCTGACCTCGTGATCCGCCCACCTCGGCCTCCCAAAGTGCTGGTATTACAGGCGTGAGCCACCACGCCCAGCCAGCATACATAATTTTTTATTCACCCAAGAGTTCTCCCTTTCCACAGTAACAAATTTTAACACTGGCTCTTTACCTAGATATTTCTACTTAAGAGTAATTGAATATACTACTAAATAACCTACTTCGGACTGTTCTTATTCTTGAGCAACTCAACCAAATGAGGATATCTCTCAGCAGATTAAGCAAATATGCAGAAGTGAAAAATACGGAGTATTCTAATGGGCAGAGTTAAAGACACCCCTTCTGGCTAAATGTTTGTTAGCAAAACAGGAAGAGAAGTGTATCAACCAATTAAAACAGAACCAGAAGAGATTGTGGTGTTCTTCCCTACTATGTGAAAGCAATTCAACACAAGAGAATACCAAACCAAAAAATAAGCTGAAGAAAGTCCAACAAGATTCTGATCTTTCCTATGAGTATTGCAGTTCCTAAGGCCTCCAGAGGTCACAGGTCACAGTGTGATCCTAGTTTCTCAATCCAGTCAGTCATTCAACAAATTTTCATACTCATATGCAGAACAGAGTCCTCATTACTAGGGACACACTGAAAGTGAACTCTTTATTACTCAGCAAAACTCGGTCAGCAGAACCAGCAAAGGAGGTTTGACACACTCTTTCAGGATATCCACGTGAAAAGGTGGAGATATATGGGCTAGTTATAAGATATTAAGAGCATTAGTAGTTAACTGTAACCGAGACTGTGACTCCTTGTAAGCCTTGAGGGAAGCTTCCAGAGACACACTTCGTGTTATTCAGCCAGTTTAACAATTTCATCACCAGCTTAAGTAAAGATATAAAAGATATAAAAGAGTCTGATATAATGTACAGACAGCATTTCTTTGGGAGCACAGGTAAAGGTGCCAAATAATATGATCAAATTCCAAAAAGCATGATGGGAAGAATCAGCTAAAATAAAGCAAAACCACAGCGCAATAAATGTTAGACTTTGCAGTGACATCAGCGCAAGATGGGAAGACGAGGTTCAATGGCAGCATGTGATTAACGGCTCGGGGGTGTTTAGTGAACAGGAAACTCGTTGAGTCTGACCACCGGAAAAGCGAATGCAAACTTGGACTATATCAGTGCAAGCAACATGCAACCTATGACACACACTCCTGCTCTACTCTACACAGGTCACGTTACACCAGCCAGGAGCCCAACTCTGACAGAGACTGAAGGATTTGTTCTGTAGGCCACCAAGGCAGTAGAATTTGAATAAACAAGCAGAATTAGATTTCAGTTCTGTAGGCCAAAAAAACTTTCTAGTACTCAAAACCATTAAAAGGTGGAGACCCCCACCCGTTACTTGCAATGTTCAGGTATTACTGGAAGACCACTTATATAGAGATTATATAAAAGGATCCAAACATCAAAGAAGGGTTAGTTGAGCTACTCAATGATTTCCAAACCCTGGTCCTTAGTGAAGTTTTCATTGACCCATGCAAAACAAAAGTGTCCGTGTTAGGATAGCTATAAATCCACAAGCGGGGTAGTTTTAACACAGCTCCTCTCTGGATAGGAAGAACTCTCCTTTAGGCCTGACAGCATACATATTCTTCCCCGTTTCCCCACCTTTTCTTTTTTTTGGTACATCAAACGTATTTTGACAAAATGCATTGACAATAAGTAGTAACTGCTGTTGTCAATTTTCAACACACTTATGCAGCAACATTAAATGCTGACATATCTGACAATCCCTAATATTTTCTTGTTTGTTTGTTTGTTTGTTTGTTTTCATTTTACAGGCAGATGAAAACAAAAGGTATAGGAACAACATGACGAGACAATTTTTAAGGTCCTTTCTGGTCCACAGATGCTATGACAACTAGACTCGACTTGCTGCATATTTTCTCCCTTCCCACCACCCAACTTGGCTATATAGTACTGGGGTGGGAAAACGAACCAAGGAATTGGGTTTCACTAAATATGAAATCTCTCAAGAAGCAGAACCTCAACAGTGAGTCAAGATCTGGCTCCCTTCTACAACTGCTATTCTTTGGAAGCAAAGTTTATGAATTAAGTTCAGAAAGGATCAAAATAATCTATATCTAAAGTTGGGAGGCTTTTAAATTCCTATCACATTGTTACCACTCTTTTAAAAGGCGTCACAGCTAAATGCAATTGGAACAGAAAAAGCAATTTCTGAATCATCGATTTCAAGGTAAACCAAGTAGCTATGATCCTCATGCAAAGCATTCACATATAAACTTACTATAGGTCAAGGCAAAGAAATGACATAATCATGAAAAATGTAAACTATCCCAGTCAGACAGGCATTTTCATTACTCTAATACATTCGTTTTACACGTTAAAGAAACCCCACATTTTGGTGCTGTAAGGGATCATGAAAATACTTTCATCCAAATTCATTCGTGACAGGTGGTAGAGGCAGGAAGCTCAAGGTTCCTGTCTGTGCCTAAAGCTTTTTCTACTCTCATCCTGCAAGTGAATTAGGCACATTAACAGAAGTAGAAAACCTAGAACACGGTTCAGTATTCTCTAGGACTGTACTTTGTATTTCGTTGAAGTTCAATACAGAAAAAAAAAAAAAGCAGCTTTTCAATTAATACCCCAGGCTAAATTTTCTTTAAATTCAGTATGTCTTTAACAGGATTTGTAATCCTAAATCACCACCATAAATTGATCAGAAGTTCAAAAACTCAATGCCTTCCTCAATCTCAAAACAATAACCCTGCACTTATTTACCAATTATGGTTGGGGGCAAGGGGCCGTATTCACATAAACACATAGTTCTTTGCAAAGTATGCAGGAAACACAATCCCATTTAAACTAGTTTCAATGCCCAAACATAGTGCTTTTAAACCAGTTTCAATTACCAAACAACTGGTTTTTCAGGGTAGCTAGTATTTCCTTACTTTAAGAAATAGATTGACTGCCAATTTCAAAATAATAACCCGCTTCCCCTTTGCCTCAGGTAAAAAGACCCACAAGGTGGGCAAGTGTTTACTAAGCTCAGGTATCAAGGAACCCTTCAAAACACCATCCCAGTCTTGGGGAACGGGGAGAGAAAAAAAAAGAAAAAAAACACCTTCCAAATCCATATTACACAGCTTTAACTACAGTAAGCACCATAGAAACCAAATCATGATCTGGTAATTCCCCTATTAGACTAAAAGTTACATTCTATACATTTAAAGCTCTTTGAGAAAATCCATGATTTAAATACATAAAAAGCATTTAATGAAAAACATATACTTAAAGCAACTGGGTAAAATCTGTGGCCCATACTAAAAGCCAGAAGCTCCACCCCTATACCTATGATCCAGCTCTTGCTTTATTTGCCGGACCAAGTGCTTACACTGCTTCTTATACAAGTTCATTTCACCCCATCTATAGGTAGCATGTGGGTACTGATAAAAGCTGTTTCTGATTTCATTTCCTACTTCCCAGATGTTTGCTCTGTAGTTTTTCTTTTTTCTTTTTCCTTCAGCTATTTATGAATACACTCTAATTTAGAACAAATTCAATATGTCTTATTTTAAGCTGGGCAAGGCACACAATAAATGAGCGCTACCAAGATAATTTCAAGATATTTATCCAGCGTATAAATAAGTTTGCCTACCTAGGCAAGATTTGGACAGGCTGCCATGATCTTGCTTTAGAATAAAAGTGCTTAAAAAACATCACTGGGAGCCTGCTGCTGCTGTTACTGCTGAAACTACGGGCTATTGTGCTTGTCATAAAAGGGCTTGTGCTTAGAAATGAAAAAATCAAATATCCTCTGGGGAGAAGATGTCCCTAACACAATCCCTGGTATGAATCATGCAGATACTTTAACTGCATCTCTTCCCAAAATGGATCAATGGAATCCTCTAGGAGGAATCAACGTGATTTATACCCAAAACTTAAGATGGCATTTTCTCATGAATAATACTCTTATAACTCTGAATCAAGCAGTGAAATTCAATCAAGCAGTAAACATCTTTTAAGTGGAAATATTGTCTAAACGGGATGACAAAACAGAACTCTGAATTCTTTAAGTAAGTCCAAACATGAAACAGACATTCTTAAATGATGTAACTAAATACAGTAACCAAGTTGTCTCTTGAAATTCAACTTTAGGAATGCCAAAAATAATAGGCCACCTCTCAATATCCGCAAAGATACTGGTATGTGTAGGTTTTCTAGGAAAGTAATAAAAAGCAACAGTTTGGGAGATCTTTTTTCTTCAATTACTAATTGTAACACTAGAAAAATTACAACCTAGGCTGCACACAAACGCAACTCAAATGGGCAGTTTACTAAATGTCTGTCATAAGAAAGCCATCTAGTGTTCACGTTTAGAATGGAGACTGCAGACAAAAGAGGCAAAGAAAAGAAAAATCTGTGCGACTATTTTGAACTTACTGAGCAAAGCCATGAGAACCACCAAGATTCTTTGAGGGTTTTTTTCCTTGATTTTTGAAAAAAGCCATCCTTGTCAAAACCCAGTCTCAATCTAACCAAATCAAAAATGTCTACAATTTTATTTTGACCAAAATCGTGTTTTGTTGAGCATAATTCCGTGACCAATGCACTTGATTTTTTCCAGTACTCAGGCCAGAGTCATCTTGGGCTGAATTAATTTAACTGAAGCAGGTTAATGATGACAAATATCTCCCAGAGGAGTAATGCCAAGTTGTTCTCTCTTTCCGAGAAGCCTCGGCTCCTCTTGTAGATGATGAGCCGAAATTGATTCTTTGGGTTTGCGGCACGGCTGAAAATTAATCTGTAGGTTTTCCTGGGGATATTCCTAGGACGTGGGCAAACTACCCTCACTGACACGGGAAGACCCGGGGAGGCACAGGAGCTGGCAAAGTGGGAAGAAAGGTCGCGCTGAGTGAGAAGGGCGCTCGCCCGGCTGCTCACGGTCTTAGAAAGAGGGATCCGTCCCGGTGAGGGCGCGCGCTCGGGGCGCACCCCTTCTAGAAGGGGAATTAGCCCCGCAGCAAGTTCGGCGTCAGCCCGCCAGGCGCGCCGGGGGAGCTGCGTCGGGCAACCGCGAGCCCTTCCAGAGAGCGTTAGTCAGAGCCGAGTTCTGGGCACCTGGAGGAGGTCCTCCTCAGTGCCTGTGTCGCCGACACGGGAATAACCTTTCAGACGATCGATAACTTGGAGAGAACAGGCGGCGACGGCTCCTCTCCCAGCCTGGGCCCGGGAGCGCGGGTGCATCTGCGTCTACAAGCCGGACCCTGCCCCGTGCCCCTCGCACCCCCGCGCCCCTCGCCGCCGTCAGCCCCCCGAAGCGCCCCGAAGGGCATCCCCTTCCCCTTCGGGGCAGTCACCGCCTGGCCGTAGCCATCCCGAACCTACCCTCGCCACGCTGCCCGTCGGATTCCCCGACACGAACCTTCGCAACACCGTCCTCCGGGACCTGCTACAGCCTGTGCGCGCCGGGCGGCGCGTACCGGGGCTGCCGCCTCGCCGCCCGCCGCTGCCCCGGGCTGCCCATCGGCCCGGACTCTCCCCGCGCCGGGCTCCGGCGGAGGCGGCCCGGACCCGCCGGCTGCGGCTGGAGCTCTCGGCCTGCACTCGGGCGGCCGGCGGGGGCGCGGCGCTCCTCCTCCGTCCTCCTCCTCCTCTCGCTCCGCCGGCTCCTCCCGGGTTCCCAGTCTGCCGCGCCGGCTCCCGATGCCACCGCCCGCCCGCCCGGCGGCACCGCCCCCCGCCCGCTCTGTGGGCTCCCATTGGCCGCCGCCTGCAGGCCCCCTCGGCCCCGCCCCACGATTGGGCGCGGGCGCCGTCAGTCTCACCGCCCGCCGGGCTCCAGGCTCAGCCGGTGCGCTGTTCCCAGGCCCCGCGGCGCGCGGGAGCGGCGCGTCCGGGAGGGGCCCGAACGCCTTTCTTGGGGAGGGGGCTGTGGAGCGCAGCATGAGCGGCGCTGGGCGAGCTCGAGGGCCGGGCAGCCTACCTGGACCCAGGCTTATAGAGAGCTGTCGCCGTCCTCGCCGGTACTCGCTTTCGTCCCTCTGAGGAATAAGTTAAAAACCCTGAGTCTGGTTCTGAGCCTTCCTCTGGCGCAGGCGCGACCCCACCCGGCCCTCCTGTCGCCCAACTTGGGACAGACGCGGCGGCCCGGCGTTCGGATCCTTGAGCCTCGGCCGCTGGGGCTACATACACAGCCCAGGACGCCACAGAATCGCCGAGGCCCCGCGAACACCCAAACGGCCGCATCTCGAAGTGATCCCATATGAAGAAGACAGCGCGAGGAAGCGAGACCCTGCTGTGTGCCGGCCCCCGGAGGGCGCCCCGGGCCCGGTGGGTGGGAGGGTGGGGAAGCACAGAGAAACACGCAGGCAGTAAAATCTTAGGAGGACAGGGGGTGCCAGCGTGCAGGAAATGCTGCTAAGAGACCTTTAGGAGCCAGGGAAAACGGAGAGACCAGCAGTTCCAGGCACCCGCATGCCAGCCCGGTCCGCTCAGCCCTTCCTCCTTGCCCTCCAGGCAGCGCTCAGCCCACGGTAGAAATGTCTTGGATCGTTTTTCCGACGAGGAAAAATTGAACTTTTTATACCCAACTTTTCTACTTTCTTAGAAATGTTGACTCACCTTTGAGGAAGCATTACTTGAAACTATTACTGTAAATTGCTTGACATTTGAATTAGATGCAGAAAGATTAAAGGGTGTCAGAAGACTCTTTTAAGCTAGACTGGAATTGACTGTGTCTAAATGGACAGCAACAGTCATCTATACGCAGAAATAATAAAGCAGGTGGAGGGAGCCTCTAACTTACCTTCCAGCGACACCGTAGGATTTCCTGAGCAGGACTTTTTGTCAGAGTTTTGAGCTGGGTTCCCAGAGACTGGATTGGGGCTTTCAGTTCCTCCCCTTCTAGAGTCAGACTTCTTCCTGAAGAGAGAATGTTATCTCTACTTCCCTATCACAAACACTTCCTAGAACACAGCCCTGTTAAAAGTTAAATACAGGCGGTCCCTCCCACATTATATTTCTCTGTGATCTGAAGCATGTACACATTATACAATCTTTTGTATCTCTTTAAATTATAGGTATAATCTGTGGGATTAGGTATAACTAAACAGGTCAAAAAGCAATCCTGTGACATAATACAGTTCCTGAGCACTCCAGGTTTTGATGAGTTTCCCAACTGTCACCCCATTATCAGCATTTACAAGATTGTCATGTATTCATTTAACAAACATTCGTGGAGATCCTCTGATGTTCCAGACCATGCTAGGTGCTGGGAATATAAAATGCACAGGACATAAGGCTCGGCTCTTCAAGAGCTCACCATCTGACAGGTGCATCCTCATTCATTGTAGATATCAACATTATCTCCTGTGTACTCAACAGAACCCTACAGGAGCAGCACCCGTGAAGGAACTTTTCCTGGGAGTGCCTAGGGAGGACATACTCACGTTTCACCTTATTGCACGTTTCATTGTCTGTAAGGGCCTTGAGGAGAAGAACCACATCTCCTCCAGCATTTTGATCCCTAAAGCACAAATCGACTGCAGCCCGGAGCAGATCCTGGATCAGTGGGTGGTCATTGAGGTGGGTCTTGCTGCTACAGCTGCAAATGTCCATTGTCTA